AAATGAACAGACATATTCTTTATATTTTAAATATGGGTTAAATCACTTCTTAGATTACTGTTCATTAGATTATAATTGAGGATTGAAACATTATTTTAAGTTATTTGTGAGGTCAGCTCCTTCAAGTGTTTAATGATGGTGTTGATGAATGTATTTTGTTTGTCATAAATGTGGTTAAAGATATAAATGGATCCACAGTGGAAATGGAACTCGACACCATGTAAACAAAAACAAAGTGCAGTAATCAGAAGTGACCACCAGAGGGCGACACAAACACAAAACTAGCAAAATCTGACTTTTACTTTATTGTAATGTTGTTTCTTTATTTTGTGTGTGTGATGGTGGCTACAGTTGCTATTCAGGATTCATTCATTAATCGATTAAATTCATTAATTAATTCGAGGAGAGTATCAGATTCAATAAAGCTGATAGTTTCATGTGTTTCTGTATTTTATTTATTTTTTAACACAGAGGAAGACCCAGGACACGCTCAGCTGGACTGGGAACACCTTGGGATTCCCCCAGAGGAGCTGGTCCAAGTGGCTGGAGAGAGGGAAGTCTGGGTCTCTGCTTAGGCTGCTGCCCCCGAGACCTGACCCCAGATAATCAGAAGAAAATTTTAACATTTTACTAATTTTATTGTTGCAACTTTTTCATTTGACTGCATTTTAAAACACTTCACTGACATTAAACAAAAAGAAAGAATTGACCACACATTTCACAACACAATGATGCAACAGAGGATTCGCATCAATTGCATCAAACACTTCCCAGACGGTCCAACATTTGTTCATCAGTGGGAAAAAAAATACAATAAAAAAAAAACACCTTCAACAAACTGTAATGATTTCTGCAGATATAAAACTTGAAGGACTGCATGATGCCAAATTAAAAACAAGATTTATATAATCTTGCTCAGAGTATGTGTTGAGGATGACTCTCAGCTGCTACCACACCAGATTTCAGTTCAATATTTGTAGAAAATAGCTGAATTTTAGCCACCCCCCGTGTCACCTCTCCCTTCAGCCTACAAGCAGCGGCCGAAGGTTTACACAACACAGAAGCCGGATCATGAGCTGAGCTCTCTCCTGCACTAAAGAGAGCAAATGGTGCACGTATCAGGACGCTGCTGGGTGACGGAGGCAGGAAGTCCTGAAAACTGCCCGGGCAGATGTGGTTCGGAACCACAGTGATAAAGTAGAACCAGTGTCGCAATGTTCAGTTCATATGTGCTGGTTTGTGTCGGCACGGCCAGTCCAGACGGATTCAACCCAGAGAGCAACAGAGTGGGCCTCGACCCCCCCGGAGCTGGGTGCTACACAAAGACATCATGTGAAGCTCTCAGATGACACAAAGGTTATCTGATGCTCCACATCAACAAAACCAGGGACAGAATGAAAACTGAATGCAGGACTTTGGTCCATAAAGATCTGGATCAGCAACACTGTGGTGTTTAACATGGTGTTCTTTTTATTATAACATGTTTACACTGCTTAGCATGGTTCTGCTAATCAGCTAATAACTTACTAACATTGAAAACTATTAGCAGAGCAATTAGCTTTGGCTAAATTAGCACAGGTATAAGTAGGTAAAATGAGGTATAGATTAGGTATATTCTATTTAAAAAGGTAAAGCTTGGTATTATAGTTATAGCATATTTATAAAGCCTTTTGAAAAAGACTTTGATTTGTTGACTATTTTTTTTATATGAAATATGATTTTAATATTAGCTTCTGCTAATTGTTTTTACTTAAACTGTTTTTTCAAACATTGTAGCTGTTTTTATTGCTTCATTGTACGTTTTTAGTTGTTTAGCGTTAAACTATGCTAATTCTTTACTTGATTAGCTAATAAACATTAGCTTCTGTGTTTTACATTTTTAGCTGTTTAGCGTTAGCTTATGCTAATTCTTTTACATGTTTACATTAGCTTCTGCGATTATTTTTCTTGTTTAGCTTTTTAGCATTAGCTATAATTTTAAATATGTTATGCATTAGCTTCTGCAATTATTTTTTCTTGTTTAGCTGTTTAACATTAGCTTCTGCTAATTTTTTTTACTTGATTCGCTAATAAACATTAGCTTTTTCTAATGTGTTTTACATTTTTAGCTGTTTAGCGTTAGCTTATGCAAATTCTTATACATGTTTACATTAGCTTCTGTGATTATTTTTTCTTGTTTAGCTGTTTAGCGTTAGCATCTGCTAATTTTTAACATGTTTAGCATTAGCTTCTGCTAATTTTTTACTTGATTAGCTAATAAACATTAGCTTCTGTGTTTTACATTTTTAGATGTTTAGCGTTAGCTTATGCTAATTCTTTTACATGTTTACATTAGCTTCTGTGATTATTTTTTCTTGTTTAGCTGTTTAGCGTTAGCATCTGCTAATTTTTAACATGTTTAGCATTAGCTTCAGCTAATTTTTTACTTGATTTGCTAATAAACATTAGCTTTTTCAAATGTGTTTTACATTTTTAGCTGTTTAGTGTTAGCTTATGCAAATTCTATTACATGTTTACATTAGCTTCAGTAATTATTTTTTCTTGTTTAGCTGTTTAGCGTCTGCTAATTTTTAAAACATGTTTAGCATTAGCTTCTGCAATAATTTTTTCTTGTTTAGCTGTTTAGCATTAGCTTCTGCTAATTTTTTACTTGTTTCGCTGTTTAGCATTAGCTTCTGCTAATTTTTTACTTGTTTCGCTAATAAACATTAGCTTTTTCGAATGCATTTTTTTTACATTTTTAGCAGTTTAGCGTTAGCTTCTTCTAATTTTTTACTTGATTCGCTAATAAACATTAGCTTTATCTAATGTGTTTTACATTTTTAGCTGTTTAGCGTTAGCTTATGCAAATTCTTTTACGTTTACATTAGCTTCCGTGATTATTTTTTCTTGTTTAGCTGTTTAACATTAGCTTCTGCTAATTTTTTACTTGATTCGCTAATAAACATTAGCTTTTTCTAATGTGTTTTTTACATTTTTAGCTGTTTAGCGTTAGCTTCTGCTATATTTTTTACGTTTAGCGTTAGCAATTATTTTTTCTTGTTTGTCTGTTTAGCTTTAGCTTCTGTTACCTTTATTTTCATGGTAATTAGTGTTAGCTTCTGCTAGTTTTTAACATGTTTAACTGTTCAGTGTTAGCAAAGCTAACTGGTTAGCTGTGCCCACCGTGTTTATTAAACTGACTGTTAGTAAAATATCTTGTAAACAATTGAACAGATTTAGATAAAACTTTCAGACTACAGTCACATGTACAACTGACAGCTGTCAAAATACGTGATTTTTAAATGTTTTTCATTAAAAATGTTTTGTCTATGTGTAAAAAAGACATTAAATATGTTCACTACTAAAAGTGTATTGCATGGTTTGTATTAATGAGTAAAATTAGTAAAGTCACGTGTTGCCAACAAATGTGCAAAGCTATACTCGTAACTGCAAAAGTCTAGTTATAAGATATTAAGTCCAACGGTATTTTTACAAAAACCCTAATGAGCTCGAGTCACATTAAACCCAAAAACAATCATTTAACAATTCAGAAACTGTTAGAATGGCTTTAGCCACAGCTAACTGATATTAACAAACACAAAAATGGCAACAACTCATCCAGTTTTACAGATACTGAGCTGAACTCTGATGTGGTAGTAGCTGAGAGTCATCCCAACACTGACTGTGACATCTCGCATGAGAATTTAGCCTCCAAACATCGATTAAATTCTAATTTAATCTGAACAGATTAAGAGATTTAAAGCAGAAATAACAAGTCTGTAAATTATGATCTTTTGCCACATCGACCGTTAGCCTTATTAGATTACTAAATATTATTTTTTAATGGTTCATGTTAACCACAGTCAAAGAATAAAAACAGTCATAAATTGTATTAAAAGCTTGGGAAACTGCATTATTTTTCATGAATCACTGAGCTGTTTTATCAGTTTTCTTCTGTTTATAAAGTTAGGTAAATTAGTGGCACACTTTATGTACTAAAACAAATATTCACAGCAGACTAACATTATTACATAACACATAAAATAAAATAATAAAAAAGTCCAATTCTAACTTACTAAACTGGATATTTACTAGTTTGTGGTTTATATATAGATAATGGACTCTACATTTTTTTTATACAAATCAGAGAAAACAAGGCTGTTCTAATAAAAACGGGGAAGCAATAATATTATTTTTACATTTAACATAACTTTTTCGCAGAAAACTACCAAAATAAGATGTATTGATAATGAAAAATGTGTTAAAACTACAAACAAATTAACTAATTATCAATTAAAAGATAACATATATCTAAATAAAGCTTGGCCACATGACACTTCTTTAATAGTGTAAAATTTTAACGTGTGTTTTTGTAAATTTTGTATAACACTAAAATATTTTTTCGGTGCTTTTATTTTCTTAACCTTCGCTTCGACGACTGCAGCCGAAAAACATGGAAAACACTCACCGAAAACCGCAAAGCAGACGATGAAGACTGCGGTTAAGCTCTGGCAGACTTTCATCCTTCGTGTCGGAGTTTCTCTTTCGTCAAAAGAAAAAAAAACAAAACAATCATAAAACAATTAAATCTCCAGCGACGTGTCGCCCGATGTGGAGGCGCAGGTGTCGCACTTGACTTCGCGGACCGTTTGGTCAAGGATGATGTCGCTCTTCCGGTTTTCCTCCCTCTTTTCCCGTTTGAAAATAAAAAGATGAAGGTATTTTTTTTTTTTTTTTTTACAAAAAGTCCCCACCAGAGTTCGTTCCGAGGGTGGAAACGATATTAAAAAAAAAGGCCGTAGTTGTGTGGATAGCAGCTGAACTGTCAGGAGAAAAAGCAGCGACTGTCATGTGAACTGGCAGCATTATAGACCTAATCACGTGAGGACGCAGGCCCCTCCCCAGCTGAGTGTATRGAAGTCTGTTTGAGCCACATTAAAAAATATCCAGTTGCTTCTTTTAATTTTTTTTTGTCACAGATGAATGAGAATTTACACATACGATACAGCCCGTATTTGGACTGAGTATTAATTTGAGTATTAAATTGAGTATTTTCTTTTTTGTTTTATTTTCTTCACTGTTGTAAAAAAGTGAATTATGTTATTAATGAATATCCGCAGGCTGTTTGTGCCTTGAGAAATTTTCTCTTTTAAGTAGGGGCAGATGTTATAAGACTTTTTTCTTCTTTCTGCTCCTTGTCATTTAACATTGTTGTTATTTTAATTGTTTTTATTTTATTGTTTTTATTTTTGTAAGTATATTTTTCGTGTATTACTGTAATTCAAGTGAATTAAACAAAACAAATTAAATAATTAAATTAAAGTTACATTTTGAATCTTGTGAGCATTAAAATATTTTATGAAATACAAAGTTTGTTTCTCATGTAACAACGTAGCCCGTCCAGTGACATGAGATTGAAAAAGTATGTGTGGCCACAAGATGATTTTGAGCAGCCATGTTTTTTTGGACAAACAACTCCATTGTCACCTATGTCTTATAGCTTCAACAAAGAATGCTAATTGATTCATGCCTAATGTACAGTGGTTTGCAAAAGTATTCATACCCCTTGAACTTTTCCATATTTTGTCACATTACAACCACAAACATAAATAT